GCGCATCTTATCAGTAAAGCCGGTTCTGAGCAGTATTAACTACACAGAGCCGTTGTTCACTGACGAGTTGCGCAAAACCACGTTCATATTCGCGCGATTTTTTGCGCAGCTCATCAGTGAACAACGGCTCTGTGTAGTTAATGCTGCTCAATGTGAAAGCACGCAGGTGATGGAGATTTACCGCTGATTACAGAACCGGCTTTCTGACAAGATGCGCGTTAAATATCGCATGCGATTAATCGTGCAGCCCTAATGTGAACCAATGATTCAAAGGCCCATTCATAGAGAGAGCCCTTTTCTTCATTCCTGAATGAATCAGCCATTTTAACAAATCAAATGAATAGAATGAATGAATGACTCAAAGACATTTACTGCCACCTGCTGGCAGTTTTAGTTTCTTCTAGTGTCATTTAGTTCATTCATTCATTCATTCATAAATAAAAAAATTAAAGTGATAATTCACATAAAAATAGGGATAAAATATTCTGTCATCATTTACTCACCCTCATGTAATTTCAAACCTGGACTTTCTTTTGCGCAACATACTGTAAAAGAAGGTATTTTGAAGACTGCTGGCATCAAAGCTGTTTTGGTTACCAGTGACTTTTATTGCATGAACAAAAAATACTGAGATGTTTCTCAAATTATCTTCTTTTATGTTCTACAGTTTATGTTAGGCCGTTGTAGCCTAAATGTTAGTGTAATAAATTTTATGTTTAATCAAATAAAATATTGCTTTTTAAAGCTACTATTTGTAATGTCTACTTAATACTTTCTCATTTAAAACAATAATAGCTTTAAATAATCTTTTGTGGGTATTTTCAAAGCCAAATTTATTTTGCGATTAATTAGATTAATCACCGCACCGTGTAATTAATTAGATAAAACATTTTATTTGGCTGACAGCCCTAATATAGTATATATATCACAATAACAATTTTTATGAAAACACTTTTTCGCTTCAATGCTTGCCTTTTCTCAGATACAGCTAATTAGAACTAATTTGATTATTTAATCAGCATATAATGTAATTTTATTATTAATTGTAATTATTATTATTATTAGTTTTTGTGTTTAATGGTTAACATTTATTAAAATATATAAATATTTACAAAACAGACAATTTAACATGACGTATGAGGGCTGCTGGGAACACTATTAAAAATTTAAGTTTTTTTTTTTTTTTTTACCAATTTATTGAAATTAAATGTCTGAATAAACCATCTAAAATGAATAGCACTTCTTAACACCACTTCAATAACAGGAGTGAGAGGACATTCTAGAAAAAGCATGATTATTGTCATAGCTCACTCAGCTGTAAAGATGTGAGCTTTATTTTACAGTGGCTTGTCAGGCTACACCACTGCATATCTGAAAAAAAGTCTTGTTACTTGAAAACCTCAATGTTGTTTTAGTATAACTGAGATAACTATTGTTTCTTATTAATATTTTTAAATTTGATTTTATATTTTGTTTATATATATATATATATATATATAGATCAATCTTTGAAATCCAAACTCACTATATGAATTCACCCTTATGATCTGAAGGTAATGTGAGGTCATATGTGACAGGTCGTGCTCAGATTCACTCTGAAGGAGCCAAGCAGACCCTGACAGAGCATAATGGGAATCAATGGGAGCAGCGCCTGGCCCCTGCCTGCCACACCACCATCGATATCAATCACTGTTATCGCCAATAACGTCTCTGTGTAAGCTCTTCGCTGAATGTCACAGCAATACCAGATCTTTCTTCTTTAAAGAGAGGAAGAGATGATCTCTCTTTGACACGAGCGGCAAGGTTAGTTAAGTACTGTTAGCAGGATGTATAGCGAATCTGGATGTGCAATCGGAGGTCGATGCACAGAAGGACTGAAGATGTTAATGGGTTTAAATGATGGGGAGTTTTAATTGGAAGTGAAGGAGCTGGGTCAGGTCTTACCTTCTGAAGGTTCCTCTCCAGGAATGGTGGAAACGTGAAACAACTCGGATACAACTGGAGCAAGATCTTCCTGGGCCGTACCAGATGATGAACAGGTCAAGTGGACCAAATCTGATAAAAAAAGATCACAACAGACCATTTAGGGCAATTGAGGGTACATATTTTTTTTTTATTTTTGGTTTCATATGGTTCACTTTTATACCATTTCTGAGAAAAGTTTAAGTCCTCTAAAATGTATAAGAATGCTTTGTGGTAAAAAGTAATAACACTGTAAACATTATTATTTAAATAAATGCAAAAATAAATATAATAAATTAAATACACACAAATTGAAGAAATAAAGAAAACAACTAGATAGATAAATACAAAAAGATTAGAAAAGCTAGTGTTAGGTTTTTTTTTTTTTTCTTTAAAGAAAACAAGCTAGTAAATGAATAGAGTAGAGTGCAAGTCTTTTGTAGGAATAGAATTAGAATAGAGAGTGCTCGAGTTAGAGGGTCAAATAAAGATGGAAGAGATGTGTTTTAGCCGATTCTTGAAGATATTGTAATTCTGAGTCTATCTCTCACAATTCTGACTTTTTCCATCAGAATTATGATATATAACCAGAATCTGAATTCTGGTCTGAATTGTGTTACCTTTTTTATTCATTACTCCAGAAAAAAGCCTCCATATGATCCTGTGTACCCAAAACATACTAAAAATAAACTTGCAATCCTGAAAAAAAAAAGGTTAAAAATGTTTATATCTCACAACTCTAAGTTTTCCTCTCTCAATTAAAAAAAAGTCAGAATTGTGAGGGGGTGGAAAAATCTGAATTGTTAAGTCACAATTACCATTTTTAAATTTTTTTAACCTTTGGTGGAAACTATCTTCCATAAAATCAAATCTCAAGCTGCTGCATATAAGCTGCACTAGGCAAGGTTTCAAAGCATGCTTACTTTACTGGCAAAAACTTGTTTAAATAAGTATGACAAACTTGGCCAACAATCTGACAAGAACTACAGTAAGGCTCTGACTTTCCATGAAAGTAGCCCTTAAAGTGATGCAGAGGGGCAAAGAAGAAACGGGCACCAAAACTCAAAACAACAAATCTCAATCCTCATATAGGTCTGAGAAGCTCTACTAGTGGGATCTGTGGAAATGTCCTGGGTAATCCCAAGAGTTCACACACCACTTCCAGGCTTATCATTACTTCTCCATTGTTTCTTCCTGTGGTCTGTGGTACAACACTGTGTGCGTGAGGATCAAAGAGAACAATCCAGTACAGGCAGCCCAGGGCGGCACACAGACTCCGTGTCACACATATGCAGGCATCTCCAGTGGGACAGGAGGTGCAGCTTCGCTAAAGGCTCTAAAGACACACGGGACACTGCAGAGTTTTGAAAAAGATTCTCGCCACAGCCAGAGACACTCCAGGGGCTGACTTTAAAAGTCCTGGGTAGTTGAAAGTGAACACTTTTGCAGTACAGGTGGATTCATAACATACCCATTTATGGGCATATATGTTCTATATAGAGTCTTGAAGAAAAAACAATGCTTTTTTTTCCTGTTGTATTTGAGTGGACACTTTTATATTACCCTACAGTATACATGAAATGCAGGGAAGAATTCTAAACTTATGAAATTGCATAATTTGAAGTAGCACAAACAAGTAGTACCAAATAAATAAAATAAAAATGATATTTAATCTGCAAAATCAACATGAAGCAACATTTATAATCCATTTTACTTCCATACATGTTTTAAACTGAAGTGAATGTAGATGATTCAATAAGACCAAACACTGCAAATATAGAATACGAGTCCCACTTAAAAAAACAAAATCAAATAATCAAGTAATCAATCAATTCAAATAAATCAATTTTTAATGTATTCATTCACAAAATGTAAATAAGTTACTTCCAAAATTGACAAATAAATGCAGCTATTTATATCTACTTTTAAAATATATGCTTAAAAGTGTAACATAAAAATGCAATATTGCACTTTTATAAAGCATTACAAAAAACTGATTTTCATCATAAAACAATCACAACTTTTGAAATAATACACTTCTCACAATACTAACTACACTTTCATATTGGATGGATTATTGTACTTACATTAATATTTAACTACATTAATAAATTCCATTTACAGTTGTAAACATCTACTGTCAATTTGAAGTGTACAGATACATAGTTATTATACTATAACTTTAAACAATTTTAACAATTTTAAAAGTCTATTTCATTAATTTTTTTAATCATTTTCAATAAGAATTATCATTAAATATTAATAAATTGATTATTTATATTTTTAAGTGGCACTCCAAGTCCTCCATACACTGATATCCTTTGGTTCAAACTTAGTAATGTCAGGCGAAATGCTGTATGATGAAAGTATAAAGCAAACAAATGGGGTCTATTCTGATTTCATATAGATTTTAAAGGTGAAGTATGCATTTCTAATGTTAAAATACTAATACTTTATATACTTAAAACTCGCACCCAGTGTAATGAGATGAGGCTGAACCTGAGGTCAATTTTGGGGCAGGATGACCAATAACAGATATAATTTTTGCAATTCTGTTTGGTGCTGCCAGTGGCCCAAAATCACACACTTCACCTTCAAAGTCTATAATCAATAGTCGTGGTGTTGCTTGGAGCCCTCGAGAACACATCTAACATCCCCAGCAGCGTAACTAAAAGAGTCTTGTCATAAGTGGTTAATGATAAATAAAGAGCATATTCTCCTGTGAACGCATGTCTGTCACGGTCATCATCATCTGCTGATTGTGAGGGATGCTCTCAGGTAGAAGTGCATTACTTAAAGAGGAACGACTACGATCCATCTCCCTGTGGGACTGGGCTATAGCAAAGCAAAGCTTCCTATCATTTCCCCTGAACTCAATTCCCAGAGAGAGGAAGAGGAGTTCCGCTGATTAAGCTTTTCATTCCCCCGTGAGGACGGAGTCAGTCACTGGGGCCCGTTCCAAGACCGCTCCACCATCTCCACCTGATCTACCCCTTCACGATGATTGATAGCAAAATAGGGCCAGTGTAACAAACAGAATAACTTTCATAAATAACAATGGAGTTAATGATGGAGTCATCGCTGTGGTGGGCGGTGAACTGAGTGTTTTGAAGGACAGTTTTGACATTTTCGGCTGTGTTCTGAGACTATCAATGTTCATCACTCACATCATTTTTGGAAGATCACTAATAGTTTAAAATCTGCATTTTGTAAGAAGCATTTAAATGCACAGCACTGCTGGTCAAAAGTGTATAAAAAAGTCCCTTATGCTCACCAAGACTACATTTACTAGATCAAAATACAGTAAGAACAGTAATATTGCTACAATTTAAAATAACGGTTTACGCCAGTCTTCAGTGTCACATGATCCTTCAGAAATCATTCTAATATGATGATTTGCTCAAGAAACAGTTTTTGCTGCTTAATTTTGTATAAACCATAGTAAAAAAAAAATTCAGGATTCTTTGAACGGAAAAAAAGAACAGCATTTATTTGAAATAGAAATCTTTTGTATCATTATAAAAGTTTACTTGATCATTTTAATGCACCCCTGCCGAATAAAAGTACTAATTTCTGTATTTTTTCCCCAAAAATCTTATTTACCCAAACTTTAAAATGGTAGTGTATCATAGTTTTCACAAAAGCAAAAACCGTTTTTAACATTGATTGTAATAAGAAATCAAGCAAATCAGCAGCATATCAGAATGATTTCTGAAGGATCATGTGACACTGAAGACTGGAGTAATGCTGCTGAAAATTCAGCTTTGATCACAGGAATAAATTACATTTTAAAATATGTTCAAATAGAAAACAGTTTTTACAGTTTAACATTATAAATAGTAATAATATCTTACAATATTTTGTGTTTTTACCCTATTTTTGATCAAATAAATGCAGCTTATAAAACGGATAGTTCCGGTCCTTGATTCTGATTGGTTGAGCCGCATTCGAAGCTGTTGTAAATTACACTACAAACATACACCTTTGCTTACTTCTGTGTGCTGCTCGGCAACCACTTTGTTGGAACCACAACTGTTTCTGAGGAACTACATTGTTTGGTGGAAGAATACTGTTTTTATTTAAATCATTACACTTTATTTGCACTGTTTTATTCTGTGAAACCTTACTACGTATATGGAATAACCGTTTTATAAAACCAATAAGCCCTGTGAAGCCGTGGTTTACAGTGAATTTATAACAGCTAAGGGGGTTTACAACACCCCTTAGCTGTTATAAATTCACTGTAAACCACGGCTTCTTGGGGCTTATTGCTTTATTTGGTGAGCAAAAATACACATATATATTTTGGTCCTGTAGACTTTAACTTAATACAAAAATGGTACACTATCCATTAATAGGTTGTTGGTACATTTTGGAACTGGCAAAAGGAAGAATTGCAAATTGTTTGGAAATCATTGTTACGCTTGACAAAGCGTGGTGCAACATGCATTTACCATATGATTATGGTAACTGTATAACTGATGTGTGATCATGGCATGTATGTATTGTGGTGGATGTGTAACTCACAGGTGCCAGGCATGCAGGTCATGGAGGAGGAACAAAGCTCCACCATCCTCACAGCTGGTGCAGAAGGTTCCAGAGGAGGAATCGTCACCAATGAGATCTGCCATTAAAACAGGAAACATACTATCTTATAGTTTACATAAAACATATGACTGACATGCCGATTCTCCCTGGCACTACGAACAGTGCAGAATCACAAACATATTTTATTTTGCCCATGTTGTAAGTTTGTCGGGTAGATACTGGCATAGATGATAATGCAAACAAGGCAGAGCTAAACCGAGAGCTAGACTGTGTAACAGGATCTATATAATCCGGTTATGTTTTCATACAGTCCTTGGGTTAAACTATGTTAAAACTGCTTTTTAATCAAGTCCAAGTGCGACAACTATGCCAACAAAAAAAAAAAGAGTGAAAGAGGAAGAGAAAGCGTTGACCGAATGCTCGTTTGGCGACTGTCATTCCAAAGGACGAACGGCTAATTAAAACTAGCCTGAATATTTAATTACGTTTTGTCACACACAGTCATGTAATATTCCATTTCCACACTGTGTCAAGACACTGATATTAATTTCTGTTCGCTGAGGCTAATGAGCATAAATTACACCCACTTTTCCTTCCTCTCCTGATCTGCTTTGAATATTCAAGCATGAATACCTGATGGAGAGCAAATTGGGCTGCGATTCAGAAGGTATGCTGACCACTCCACTTCTTTTCCTGGACTCTGGTGGACAGCACTCAAATTAGCCTAAGAGGATGCTTGCGTGTCACCATCCACTCTCGCATCAGAAAGATTTATTTATCCAATTCTAAACCAGTAACAGCAAACAGAATTACTGTCCTTTCATTGAACTGGTTATTTTTTCCTCTCATAATTCACTTTAGAATGCTACGCTTGAGAACGGGACGTCAAAACTATTGTAACGATCCCACAAATCGGCTCTGATGTTTTGTTGCATCTATGCCTGCTGGATCTTGGACGTGTCCCAAGAATCCATCCAAATATGATATGCAGCATAAAAAAAGATGTAATGCAATACAAGTTGAAAAGCAAAAGTGCAAGGCAGGCAAGAAATGTGCTTCACAAACACACTCACAGCAGAGATGGGTCAATGCCCTTTAAACGTGCATGTGAATATTCAAAAAAAGGAAAGAAAGAAACGAACAAAAGAACAAATAAGAACTAAGAGAAAAACAAACAGAAGAACAAATAAAAGCACGAAAGAATGAACAAACAAAAGAATAAACGAAACGAAAACCATAATTCGAAATTAATTTATAATTTTCATAATTTGAAAACCAAATTAAAGAACATCAAATAGAACAAGCAGAAATACAAATAAAAGTATGAACAACCACAAGAATTAGCAAACAAAAGAACATACAAAATTAAATAAAAGAACAAATGAAAGTACAAACAACTGAATTTAAAATAAAAATAAATGAAAAAGAAAGCTTTATACCTGCTGATCAGATTCTGAAGGTAGTACAGATCTGTCTGTGATGAGCACTGCTCGAGATATCTGCCTGTGAAGATGGAGAAAGAGAATTAGAATTAAAAAAAAAAAAACTTTAAAAAGACTAGGAAAAAGAAGAGAACATATATTATGAAGGAGATTATCAGAAAAGAGAAAATTCAAACTGACCCTAAATCACATTTTGCCTTTTCAATTTACAGTAATTGCAATGAATATTTCGCCCAAAAAAGAAAATTCTGAACACATATGACTTTCTTGTTTTTGGAAACAACAAAAGAGGTTTCAAAAAATGTTGTTGCTGCTCTTTCAATACAATGAAATCATAGACTGACCAGTGGATGTTGAGCTTTCAAATCTTTGCTTCAGCATATACAAACTTGGCACAATGTGTCCAAATATCAGCTTTTATGTTCCACAGAAGAAAGTCCGACGGGTTTAGAAAAACGAGAATTGAAAAGGCAAGTGGGACTTAGGGTCGTCACCAGTGTTGGGCAGTAACGCATTACTTAGTAACGCGTTACTGTAATTTGATTACTTTTTTAGTAACGGAGTAATTTAACGCGTTATAATTTTCAAAATAGTAATTAGAGTATAGTTACAAGCCGAGGTCTCTATACGTTACTGCCGTGTTACATTGCTGACAGAATGCAGTGTTTTATAATCTAGAGATTGTAAAAAGGATGTAGCACATGCACTGTCGAGTCAAGTGCCAGTGGATTAGAGACCTGCTCCCGCGAGACCCGACGCAACAGACTGCGGCGCGGGACAAGATGGGCAAGTGCTGGTGCGGGCGGGTAGACACTCGTGTGTGTGCGGGATGCGGGAGAATAAAATGATTCATGGGACTCCAGCAAAATAGAAATATCTAAACATAAAATATCTAAAACAAATAAATTGTTATTCATCTATTGCACAAAAGCAACATGAACTAATATAAAATATAAACGAT